GATGATGATACTAAAAATAATGCAGGTACATAGCTCACCCATGTCAAAAAACACCCCCAACAGACATAACAACACACTTGTCCTGTAAATGCTTAAATGTTCAAGGAACCCATTTGTTTCAGCCAGTTATCTCCAGAAAGCTCCAGGTTTAGCCCACATTTTTTCCAAAGAAGGTGAGTGTGGTAAGCCTGCTTACAGCATACCTTACTCACACACACACACACACACGCACACACACAGACACCACACACACACTCCCCCAAACTCAGGGCACTTAAAAGATGCAGCCAGAACTTTGTTTTCTTGGAAAATTCTTACTACAAAATGTCTACCTTTGCATCCTGTATTTTGTATTTAAACTAGTCAGCATAGTATATCCCATGTGCCTTTACTATGGGACAGAAGACTTGAGATTAAAGTACAGGAATATAACTCCACCCTCTTGTTTCTCCCAGCTTCCGCTGCAAAACCATCACATCAGCCTCTCATGCTGATGTTCAACATCTATTCTGGGACCAGGATATGACAGTGTATTCCACAATTCTCTAGGCTAAGCTTCACTGAGTATAAATAAACATACTAACTACTGGACTACAGTCACAATGCATCTTGTTTGGCCACAAAGCTGAAATTCCACTTTGTTTACACAGAAATAACAGAGGAAGGCCCTAGGCTAGCTTATGACATAATGATAACCAGAGTCTCCAGGGAGACCAAGATGCAATCCAGAGAGGTGCCTCAGAGCAAAAAGTGAACTGTACCATGCCTCCACTTCACATCATTTGATTCAAAACTTCAATGTTTCTCTGTCACAGTTGAAAAAGCAAATGCATTTCGTTTGCTCTTAAAAGTGGAAGCAATTTAGAGGACACTGATGAGCTGCTAAACAATAAAAAGCCACAATATTAAGAATCAAATTACAATTTTCTGACAAAATGTGGCAAGAAGCTGATTAACTCCATCAAGTATAAAACCAAGTGTTCTCACTAAATCGACATCCAGATGCAACTTATGGGGTGAAGTTTTTGGACTAAAAAAGGAAATCAAGTTAAATCATTCTGCAGAAAGTACTGTAAAGAAAAAAAGAACAAGCACTATTAATAAGAAGCAGTGTCATTTACAACCTAATCATTGAATGTGTTCCAGTCAACAGACTACAGAAAGGAAGATCTAAGCAAGTACTGTGGTTAGGTCTGTCAGCACAGCTTACTGGAACCTCCCCTCTGTGCCAGAATACAGAAACGCTATAGACAGGTGGATGAGCTCTGATGTGACTCCAGGTGCTGAGCCTCCTTTGGCTTGCACTGGGCTATTTGACAAAGACAGATCCCTAGCATGGAGCTGAACCAGACCAGAGCAACAACCCTCTGGAACTACACAACTTCACCTCCAGATTTCTACACCTGTGCACTGCACAAGAAACCCAGAGAAAACAACACTGCGATACACAAGTTCCCAGTGCCATGTAAGAAAGCAGAAGGGCCTTTCATGAGAATCCCCCTTTATGTCCTAACACAACAAACAGGCACAGATTTTCACTGCAGCATCACCCCATTCAATCGCTACATTCAGTTTACTCCATTTTTGTTTTTCAACACTCCCTTTCCTTTTCCCCATCTCTTTCCTAAAATGAAGCTTCTCAAATTTATTCACCATAGTCTAGCTCTTACTATTATAATAAAACAGAGGTATAGATAGCATTATCTCAACTCTGCATGGGTAAATGAACTTGTAAGAGACTAAAATGCTATGGCTCCAACCAGCTGCTTCAGTAAGTGCTAGTTGCTGTGGCCTCAAATACTGATCGTATCTCCTTGCTTACATAAAACAGCATTTAGAGACTGGCTATTCTTGAAGAAAATTCTGCAAGCACAGACACACATTTTACAAACGAATTGACAGAACCGTTCCTGTTTTGCAAGAGCATATAACTCCAAGGCCCCTGAGAGCTTTAAACAAAATACAAGGCACAAGCAAGGCAGAACACTCTCCCTCCTCCTCACTATCAGATAGTAAGGTGGGGCTTTTTCACATCTAGTTTTCACCTGTCAACCAACATACATTATCAATATGATGTTTTGTAAGTTTCTAGAGAATCTGCTGTCTTTTTCACAGTAACATAATTTTTATATTGATAAAATTTGACAGAAGCATAGCTATCACTACAACAAAATAAAAAAATCTGACTGTTTTGGAGTATAGTTATTCTCAGCTGTGAGTCTTCTCTGCTAATGAAATGTGTTATGAAAGACGGATTGCTACTTAACCTTCAGCCAAACCAACAGTACAAATCCTTCCAGACAAGAAGGACAGACAGCTTCACTTATTGTCCCTTTACCCTTCTCTTCCATAGGACATTATTTCCTGTAAGGCTGTGTTCTGACCAAGTTTAGCAAGACCAAGTTAACCAAGCTCACGCCTGCCCAGTACCTTCATTATAGGTGTCGCTGGGTTTCCAGTACAGACAACATCCATCAGGCTAATACTTAGAATTTTTATCCTTTGCATGCAGGATTGCCAGTTCTCTTTCAGTTTTACCACGAGAAGAGGTAAACTCTTTCTTCTGGAACCTATAGATGGTTTCTCCATCAAGATCCTTCTGTTTCTCAGGGGAATAATAAAAAAAGAATTGCGCTCTTGAAGCTTCCCCCCTCAAAGGGTCTGGATCCCTGAGTATTTCTGAAGTACCTTATCTCTAAAGAGTCACGTTTCTATCCCAGTCACTAACACAGTGACCTCTCCTTAAAACAGCATCTGCCTTCAACTTCTACACAGAAGACACAGCAATTTAGGCTTAGATCCAAGTTTGGTGGTTTTTTTTTTTCCACCTGGCAGCCCTGTAACTTAACTCAAGTGTCATATGTAAGCACATTACAGTCAACTGAAGCCCACATCTCCTCTTCAACTCCTTCATGACTGGTATAGGACACATATCCAGTGGCTAACCCTGGCAGACAGTTCTGCCCAGCAGTATTAGCTTAAGTTTTGATTTCTTCCCCAGTTTCTTCAAGCTCGGCTATGAACTGGCTAGAATACACTATTACAGTTTATCAAAAGGACAGATGGTCATAACTGGAAATAACAATAAAACAAGATTACATTCTGTCAAGTTTATTAAAGACATTCTCTGTCTGTTAAAAATTAAAATAAATAACTGGAGAAGAGACAGACAGAATGAAGTCAGAACTTTGTATTTAAATATATAGCAAACAGTCATAATCAGATAAAAGATTAACACCGTGCTCTTGACTGAAATTCAATCTAGTCCACAGAAATGCGTTACAATGCACAAGACAATAAACAAAAAGGAGAAAATAAGACAATGGCAGCCTACATCAGGGTGGCTTGTCCAAATCTGCGATTACTTATCATGGTATTTTCAATAACTGCACAGGTACATGTGCTCAGCTCAATACCTAAAAGAATGCAATATTTCGTATCTAGGAAGTGTTAGCTCAAACCCAGTAATTGGTATTTTAAAAACTGACATAATTGTCATGCAACATCACATGTGTAATTCAGCTCTCTCTCTTGGGACACTCCTCAGACAGTTGCTTGGGTCTCTGCATAATTTTAAGTCACTGAACCAAAAGAGTCTTAGTCACTGCCTTTAAAGAAAAAGGAACTCTCTTGTTGCTCCACAGATATCTGCAGATAGTGTGGACCCTTCAAAGTCTTCCAAAGACTCTTTCAAACACATCCCTGTCATTCATTCCTGAATATACTAACTTTTTTGCCTAGTTTAATTGCAGCAGATGCACACAAACAAAACCTGAAAACACAAAAGTTTTCGACATAGCCATGCTCTTGGCAGTGTAACCACTACTTCAAGCATGTGAAAAAAACTTGATGTAACATTTCACTCTCTTGAATGTTTAAGTGTTCTGTGTTGCTCTAAAAGCTGGAGACACATTCTTTAAAATGGCCAGTTTACTCTGCATTTTCCAAATGTCCTGGAAACAAAAAAATATTTTCACACCAAGCTGTGTAATCGCCTCATCAAACCTGTGTCCTTCTCAGTCTATGACATTCCAAGTTTCATACCATAATTTCTGTGTAAGCTCTGCCTCTCTTTCATCTCTTTATTATCATCCCCAAGGATGCCACCCTTATTAGAAATACGACATGAGCAAGCAGCACACAACAGTGAGAGCCAATCTGCATCCATACTACATATATTTTGGCATTTCTGGTTTTGTTATTTTGTCAAGCTCCAGTTTGGACAGACAGACCAAATCCCTATTTGTGGCTGAAGTGTATGTTTGGTCTGTCTTGACAAGCATCTTCTAGTTCATTCAGGAAGAATTCAATCCACATAGCCAAAGACTGCTCCAAAACCACAAACTAAAACAGAATCATATGCACTGATCCAAACTAAATTACTGAAGTATACATACATCTTGATTATTCTGGTTTTTATATCTTTAGAAATGAAATACATAAATATATTATTCTTTCCAAGCCAAGCTCTTTTAGAGT